GCCACCGCTTTGGAGAAGTTTTATGCTGATTCTGCCACAGCAGTGATCAAAACATATAAAGAAATGGACCCCAGCTTCTGCAAGGACATCACCATAGTGTACGATGGCACATGGCATAAGCGGGGTCACACATCACACATTGGAGTGGGATCGGTAATTGACTTTTTTACAGGTCTCATCTTGGATGCTGTAGTTCTTTCAAACCCCTGCCTTGGATGCCAAACAGGGCCCAAACCTGGAGATGCAGCATACGAAAGCTGGCAGAAGCACCACATTTGCCAGAAAAACACAGACGCAAAATCGGGAAGCATGGAAGTGGAGGCAGGCTTGACTCTCTTTGGGCGGTCTGTATCCAAGCATGGCCTGCGGTACACCACTCTTGTGTCCGACGGAGACAGCCGTACCTTCGCTGCCCTCACAGAAGAGAATGTGTACGGGCTAGTGCCAATTGTAAAAGAAGAATGTCTGAACCATGTTCAGAAAAGGATTGGAAGTGCTCTTCGAAACATTGTGCAGAAAAGTAATAAGCCACTGAGTGGGAAGGGGAAGCTGACTAAAGCCCTCATTGAAAAGCTGACAGGATATTATGGTTGGGCCCTGAGAAACAATTCAACTGACCTAACAGCCATGCAGCGTGCAGTGCTGGCAACATATCACCACGTCACATCGACTGACCAGGACCCTCACCATGAACTTTGCCCAGAGGGGGCTCAATCGTGGTGCCGCCATAGAGCTGCAGAGGCAAAGCGTGAGCCACAGCCAAAACATAAACACAGCCTACCGGACTATGTCGCTGCAGCTATGCTGCCCATCTACGAAAGACTGTCACAAAAGTCGCTTCTTCAGCGCTGCCTGGGAGCGAAGACGCAAAATGCATCAGAATCATTCCACTCCATTCTGTGGTCTCTGATGCCGAAGGAACAACACTCATCCTTGATCGTGGTAGAAACAGCACTGCATGAAGCAGTGCTGCGCTACAATGCCGGCTGCTGCAAAGCAACCCAAGTGATATCGGACTCCATTGGACTTCAACCAGGTCATCTGGTCATCCAGCGAGCTCGTGAAAAAGACGCTTTACGCCTAAAAAAGAATTCTAAAAGGCACCAAGAGAAGATGGAGGCCAGGCAAAAGAAGAAAAGGGTGCGCCAGGACACTTCTAGCTACTGTGCTGGAGCTTTTTGAAGAAAACACGTGTTTTGAACTTTCTCGGCCTGTTTTCTCAGAACGGATTTTTTTGCTAGTTGTGGTGCTGAGGAAAGCAAGAACTCGAAAACCGTTAATCAGATTTGTGTGCCGTTTTTTTTTATTCTGTTCCTGAATGACCTTGCAAGGGCGTAACAAGCTCCTTTTTTTGAAAATTGGTGCTGTTAATTTATAATAAACAATTAATTTTTGATGAATCTGGTCATTACTGGTTACATCAAATTCAAAGTTGCGTAAAAATTTTTTGTGGGGGGGGGGGGGGAAATTAAAAAAAAAACGGCTTTGTAGCGCCCTGGAATAGCTATCAAGGAATGACCACAATGAATTTCAGCCTTCTACTATGTCCTGGGATTTCTCACGACTCTTCCTCAGGCACCCATGTGAAGCACCCAGTTAAACCTCAATAACTCTGGAACTAAGAAACACAGCTTCGTGAAACTTAGCAGTTGTGCTAGTTTTATTGTAGTGAACAACCCCTGAAAGTTTCATCCAGATATCTTAAAAAATAAAAAAGTTCGGTCTCCAGGGTAGCCTCCCCCCTTAAGTCGCATCGCTGACTGCGATATCGAAAATGTTCTTTTCGACTACCTGGCTTTTTTTGTTGGAATCTTTGCTTTCAGTGGTTCTCCCATGTGAAGTGATGTTTGTGACGCGGTGGTAGACCACCCCAGACTTTCACGCAAATCAGGGCATACGACTACACAATCTCTGGTGAATGTTGAGAAGAAACATGTACATATGATCCGAATAAACGCACATATCCCAACATTTCTGAAATCGTTGTGTGTGGCAGTACAGTTTTGTTTATTTTCCAAATATGTGAAGTTTGTGCTCATGACAGATTCATGTAAAGCCTCCTGTTGGGGAAAGTGAAATTCCGTCAAATAATTTAGATTATTCACAGATGCAGGCACAACTTTTACAGTAAAGCGTAATGTGTTTAGTGTATTGGAAACATCCTAATTTTATTTTTGATACTTCGGCACACATATGGTCCCATCCCAGAGCCTATGCCTAGTTGTAATCACATTAGCACCACTTTGCATATTTTCTTATAGCACCCATTTCTTAGTGTACGCAATGAAACAACAATGTTCACACTTCTGCCGTTTGTACGGGAATCTACCTATCCTTAGCTAAATTGTGGAAACATTTTGTAGCCTTGATAACTTTTACTAGTTATAAAATCGTTCATTTAGTATCTTGAAAAATATGCATCACGAAATTGAGGAGTAATCACCAGCGTATTGCGAAAGAGCGGGTACGCGGTGGACGGTGAAGGAGACAAGCGGTGTCAGGGAAGGCAAGTCCTTGCCGTGACGTTACATCGCCACGACTGAAGTGACGCTAGTGTTCGTTTTTAGGGCTAATAGCGTCCCATGCACCCGCTGCTTATCAGCTCTCGGACCTTGGGACAAAAACCACTGCGAGACAACTCTTTATACTCGCAGTCGAGCATGATGTACTTTGAAATATCGGGCAGCGTGGCCACGTGTATCACAACCGAGATTTCTGCTCGAAGTCATGGCTAGGCCTAACTTCGCTCCGAACTTTGCGTACAAGACCATTGTGTAAGCGGACATGTGAAAGCGATGAAGCCGTGATGTGCTTCGTTGAAAGTGACAAATCGCATTGCCTGCTGGCTCCTCGAAACCGCGGATGGGCATATTGCGCATCGGCGGCGAACCCCCCGCCAAGCCCGGTACGCAGCGACCACTCCGAGCAACGGCTAGCGCTTTCGAGCATCAGTGCCCCAAAATGCAAGACCAAGCATGCTGTGCGCCGGTTTTTTTCTGTCGCGTTAGTTTTTGCATAACTAGCCGTTAACGGACATCAGATTGGCGGCTTTCGTTCTTAAATACGTACGTCAATATCCATGGCGCGCCATTCTTGCCACGAAAGTATGCCGATGTACAAGTAAGAAGCTATTGAATTTGGGATATACGCAGTAGAAAAGTCCGCTGTAAAGGAGTCCTGACTACCTTGCTGGCCTCAAATTTTAATCAATTGTATCCAAATATCCGTTGTACCAGAATCTGTAATAAACGAAGCTCAATCAATAGAATGAATATGGTGGCTGGCACAATGATGCAAATTAGTATGTTGTATCCGAAAGTCTGTTTAAGCAGATTCATTGTAACGAGGTTATACCATAATAATAATAGTAATTTATATTCAGCATTGCAGTGATGGCAGGGGTGAGAAAAAAAGTGACTGTCCGCTTGACTATGTTTCCACCCCTAAAGTACACGAGGCAGAAGTAGTGGTGTACTAAACAGCTGAAACTGCATCTCTTTGGGCAATAAATTAGCTAGTGCCAAGCAGTCTTTATAGACCTTAGAAACCAGATAGAGATCAGTTTTTGCTAGCGCAACAAACTGATACCTCCCGTGAGACTGCCCCGCCGTGGTGGTCTAGTGTCTAAGGTACTCGGCTGCTGACGCGCAGGTCGCGGGATTGAATATTGGCTGCGGCGGCTGTATTTTTGATGGAAGCAGAAATGCTGTAAGCCCGTGTGCTCAGATTTAGGTGCACGTTGAAAAACCCCAGGTGGTCGAAATTTCCTGAGCCCTTTACTGCAGCGTCTCTCCTAATCATATGGTGGTTTTGGGACATTAAACCCCACATATTACTCAATCGATCCCATGAGAATTAACTCAAGCTTAGCTGTGCTTGCCCGTGTACACAGAAATGTGTAGGCCATCATTGGAGCACAGGCCTAAGCAAACCTTCGATCAGAAACCGAAGATCAGCAGTGGAAGTGAAAAATTCTTTGCAGCCCTGCAGGGGGATCGGTCTAGGTGGGCAAAAAAAAAAAAAAAAAAAGAGTTGAAAAATTGGCATCTAGGTATTTCCAACACACATGCAGGGCTGTAAACGGCGTCAGCCATTTGGGACTTGTTTTGCACTGCCGCATATTCATGTCAGTGCACCTGAAAGGGTACACCACTACTGTATTTCTTATAATTTGAGTGTAGTTTTGAAACATAAAAACTGAGCTTTTAAAATTTTTTTAGCTCTTCCATATTCTGTCTGATTTTTGTTCCCCATTTCTTCTCTCGGAATGTTTCTTTCAATATATTTTCAGACAAAACTGGTACATAAACACTTCTCACTGAGAATTAATACTGTTGAAGTTAACAATTAAAATAATTGAAGCACTAACTTTTATTTGATGCTTCAACTTCAATATTGTTGTCTAAAAATAAAAGCATTTGACTGTAATCGGGTCACAAACATTCTCGTTGTATTGCTAATCTTGTTTTCTGGACTACCTATGTCGCACCAAATTGTTTTTCATTCCTTCACTACAGTTGTAAGTTGAAACCTATGACACCAGGCATGCCCGAGTCACACTACCTATGTCGCACCAAATTGTTTTTCATTCCTTCACTACAGTTGTAAATTGAAACCTATGACACCAGGCATGCCCGAGTCACAGTTTATTAGTAAAAAAGAAAAATCTTCTTGTAATTGTTCATCTCACCTGAAGGACCATTAACCACACTTTAGAAGGCTGACAAATAATACCTTTAATTCAAATTCTATAGCTTCATACTGTGATAGGATTAGTCTTGTCTCTATTACAACTTGTGAAATATGCAGCCAAGTGAATGAAAAAGCTAGCTCTCGAGACTTGAAGTTTGAATGCAATGTCACATTGACTGCAGACGTAGTTGAGGACAGGTGGCATTTCGCTTTCACTATTCGTCAACAATTGTAATACCACATTTTTCTCAATCATTAGAAAGTGTGTGCAGCCTGCATACAATTTCAAAATCGTCTTGATTTTTCAGACGAGCACTCAGAGTCACGCCTGCTTTCCAAGTTGGGACTGGTTCTTCAAGAGTCTGTTGGAAGCGATCAAACAAAGAAAAATGAGGTAAGTGAAGAGGTTATACTATTGACTAAAGGTGACTGCCTGTCCTGAAGTAGGTGTTTGCTCGGTCTTTACAAGGTCTACCTAGTGCACACTGTAAGCGTGAGGTTTTGGCTTTAAGGGAAGATGATATTCGGAAAAAATGTTGCGGTAATCTATAGCCTAGGGCAAAGAAATTTTTGCTGTATATGTCGGCTTTTATGTTGATTTCAATCATGCAATTAGTTTTATAGTAAATTTTGCAGTTTTAGTTTTATGCCACTAAACATTTATAGTTATCAGTCAGTAATGGCTCTTGTTGCTGTGCATTAACTACAGAATGCAAATAACAATCAATAGAGTACATATAGGACATATTAATTGACAAAAAAAAAACTGTGATGTGCAAATGCTTAGAATTCTCAGCCCCAACTAATTTTTCATTTTAGGTTTGCAAAATTGTACAGGAGATATCAAGACATAAAGAAGATACTTGCACCCTTCAGAATTTAAGAAATATGTGGGCAAAATTTCAATTCGATTGGGCTATCAGAACTATGAAAAACATGATGTGTAAACTGAAGAAGTTTCCCGAAAATTGATCTTGAGAAAAGTGCATTTTAAATGTATAAGTGAAAGTTCATATATGCAAAAAGATATGTTTTTAAGGTGATTTCTTTCATGATGATACCTTAGCAATCATGGTTATTTTCCGTATGTGGCTTTAGTGAATTCCTCATGTGAAATGCATTGGCAAGTAGCCATGTGGCAATTGCCAGGGGACTTCAGAAAATAAGCTTCTCTAGTTTTTAGCAGCCACATTGTGCTCTTTAAAAGTGATAATAATGGTACTTCAAGTTTAATTGAAATCTTCAGTTTTTTTGTCATGAAAGTAGCGAAAGCATACTTGGGAAAGTAAATAAAAATGAAAAATATGCAATTTTGGAAACAAGATGTGTTTCTCAACTCGCATCTCTCCTTAAAGGAGGCAGACGAGGTTCGCGTAGCTTTTTTGGCATGGTCAACACTTCTATACAACCTGATTTCTTGTTTTCTATATTAGTCCGCTTATATATTAGTGACTGTTCCAGTCAACATTCTATTTATCGAGCTCCACTTCCTGGCTTAAAGATCGCTCGCAATATCCCAATGGCTATAGCATCATGCTGTTAAGCTTAAGGTTCATCACTGCCTCAATCTTAGCTGTACAGCTACAATCTGGGAAAGCGAAATACAGATACACTTGTGTGCTTAAATGTAGATGCACATTAAACAGGCCATGACACCCAATTTATGATCAAAATCTGTGTTATATGGTAGGTTAATTATTTTACATTAGCAAACAAGCTGATTATGTTTGGTTTGGCACTTAATTTGTAATGGAATATTTTTTATTAATTCATGGAGTGGCCTGGGAGTTAGGCAATATACTCATTGGCTCGCAAGCCGTAATGTAATCTGCTTGCTGTGCAAGTGTCTGCATCCTGGTGAACAATTTGTACCGTGCACAGTTGCATGTGCAGTCGAGCTATTTCAGCTTGCCAATGAAATTGAAGAATTATCAGTTGCTGAAACAGTGCCACGTGGCACGTCAGCAACACGTGCCGACTACATGTGGTAAAGTGGCTGATTCGGTAGCAAAATGACAGCTCCGCTCTGTGGAGCGCATTATGTCACACGTGCTATGGCTAAATGGTGGTCTTCAGCAATGGGAGGAGTCCACAGCTGGTGACTTTCGTGCCTTATTTTGAACTGAAATATCTTTTTACTATTGAGGCTTCTTGCGCCGGTCAAGCACACCGAGAAAAACAACAGGTGCACGTTCTCGGCACAGTGGGAGCGCAGGCACGGTGGCAGATGGCTCGCGCTGTGCACGCCGCACAGTCACCCGTTCAGTTGTTCCAGCTACCGAGCGCAGCACGCGCTCTCTCCACTCTACCGCCTTCATGAAAGCCAGCAGCAAGATCAGGCACCTAGTCGTTTGTGTCTCATTTATAAGCAGCTTCGCTCATCCATTGTATTCGTACACGGAACAACTCCTAGTATTTTTATATTTTTTTTTTGCTGAAAATCAAAAGTTTTTGCGGAACCATGTCATGACCCTTTTAAAGGGCCAGTCAACAGGCTCCGGAACGTGCAGGGAAAGCTCGCGCATTTTTCGTGCGCCTGACCAACCTTCTTGCACACAAAGTGACGTCAACTCTGCGATCGGGGACGTTGACTAAGTTACTCTTTATTTGATACCTGGCTTAGACCAATCGACAAGCTGCGTGCTACGTCACTTCGCCGATCGCCGAGTTGACGTCACTGCGTGTTAAAGGAGGTTGGTCATGCGCAGGAAAAATGCGCGAGCTTATCCTGTGCGTTTCGAAGCCTGTTGACTGGCCCTTTAAAGAAACCAGCTGGTCAAAACTAATTCAAAAGCCCCTTCCCCACCACCTGGTTTGTCATAATTAGATCGGGGTTTTGGCATGCAAAAGTCTAAATTGAATTTTTTTTAATAGGCCTCTACAAGGGTACGTCATGGCGTGACGTCACCGGTGCGCGTGCAAGGCGGTGGTTGGCAAAACACTCCCGCCGGTGGCTGAGTGGGGTACAGTCGCTCGGTGCTTGAGGCAACCAACGTTCGTTGGCTTGGGACAAGTTTTTTTTCTTTTTGAAAGCTCAATCTTCATCCCACAGTGGCAACTTTAGCTGTGGTATGTGTCGGAGAACATCTAGGTGTGTGGTAAAGTGCGTGATGAAATATTTGCCACACTGGCTGGCTGTTTATCTCAGAGAAGTGAACGCACGTGGCAACCTGTGCAAGGAACAGCGGCATCGTCTTCGAAAATGTGCTGTGTTGACTGTGGCGCGTAGTGTGCTCTGAAAGGCACCGACAATATTGGTTCACCTTTACAGACGGTTAAACTGGGAATATTGTGAGTGGGTGTGTGCATTGTTAATAATGCAATGCGTCCTGTTTGCAAAAACACTGGTTTTGTTGTGGGCTGGTTGCAGTAACCGGAAGTCAATGGAACTTTACGATCTGACATTTTAGTCAAGGTAAAAATGCATTTGACGCAATCATCTGCGAGTGGGTACATCTCAGCGTATGCGCGGTGTGCAGAAAAATAAAAGTGCATGATCTCAGGGTGGTACATACGACTACGCATGAGCTATAAGCATGTTGTAGCGTTGCCGTATCTGCAGATATGCTTCACCACGGTTATAACTCGTATTATCGGATACCTGATACGTGTTAATGGAAACAGCAGAGATTTTCGTTTTTTTATCTACTTTGTACTTTTACGACTCGATCATTGTGAAGTGACAATGCGCATTAGAAGTTTGTGTATGAGGCCTAAAGGGGCAATATAGGTACGAAAAGACGTTATATAAGTAAAATGCAGCAAGTTAACTGTGCCAGATAATATTATATACTATATTATTAATTTGTCGGGTTTTACATCACATGAGCTTTCACTGGGTTATTGAGAAATGCAGCGGCAGAATTTTACTTTAATTTTTAATTTGAATTTAACCTCAGCCTAACGCATGGCAAACAGTGTTTCTTTTTTTTTTCTTCATCTCCGATCAGATTTTTGCTCTATGAGGGAGAATCTTATCTATGACGTTGCGCGCAGCCGCTCAAAACCATGTTGCCCCCAATGCTGTACCTTGTTTAAAACTGCATTGCACATGCCACGATGGGAATTGAGTAAGTTTACATCCATGCTATGGACACGCCCGCTGGATGAAAAAGCGCACGGCACGGCCTGCCCCGTAGAGTGGCTTTCAATGGGAGAGCGCGTGCCAGCCGTAGTTGCAGTTGCGGCAGCTGCAGCGCGACGGGGCGGGGACAGGAGGGACGAGGAAATGAGAGGCGGCGGTTCCCTCGGGGCAGCAGCCACAGCAAATTAGCTGGTGTTTCTCACAACAGTGACCAACTCAGTTGTTCTAATCAGTGTTTTTTTTTTAATCTCATTTAATGCAGTGATGACATATCGTGTATTTAGTAGAGTAGGTAGGCACTATCTTGAATTGATTTTTCGCGTGTGTGCCGACCACCTGACTTTTTTTGTTGTCCAGAACCAGTTTCTTGCTTTGAGGCTGAAAGAAAAATCAACAATGCATGTTGCTGAGTTATATCGCACTGAATGCGTGACAAAGTCGTTGTTCTATTTATGAAGATGTGTTAAACTAAAGTATTTATATTTTTGTGATGTTTATTCAGCACCTTCGCGTTTTTTCAGCCAGACTGCTTGAGAACAAATTTTCAGGAAACTTGGCAGTATACGTTCATAGTTTTTATAAGCTGAAAACGTATGAAAGAAACGCGATTTGAATATTTACATGATTTGAATTCCGCAGCTCTTTCCAAAACGACCCTCCTCACAATCTCCTGGTTAGAGGCTCTCAACGTGTGGGTCGGCTGCTAGTATATAATTGTTTCAAATATAAAATCTTGTCGCCCACCAGCTGCTTTTCGGCACCTTTTTGCCTTCGCATGTTTTGCAAATGCAAGTTTGAGTCTGTGTGCCGTTCTGCAAACGACCACAGACAGCCGAACTTCTTCACTGGAAGGGGTGCTCGAGCTGTTTTATGAAAACGAACATCAGTTCCACATTGCCTTGCGGGAGATGCACAACACCATAATGCGATAGCGTTCGGAAATAACCAGAACTAATGACAAAGGGGCCAAGGGCTTAAAGACAGGCATTATAAAAAACTAGAAATAAGCTGGGATTCAGAAAAAAAAAACAACTAGAGATAAGAGAAAATGAAAAGGTGGTGCCAAACTCCTCGATGCAACATTTGCAGCCAGCGGCTGTGGGGGAGTGAGCGTAAACATATGCTTGTCGGCCGAGAAATAAGGCCCCTTTTGTGTGTGTGTGTGTGTGAGTGAGTTTCGCCAACTAATATGCACTCACTGGGATATTCTTCCTGAAAAATATCGCCTTTCTAGCTGTGGAGCAAATTTCAACTGGTTTATTATGCAATGATGTAAGGAAGTAAAAAATAAAAAAATGTCTAGATCCGCC